AAAAAAAAAAAAAAAAAAGAAAAAAAGAAAAAAAAAAGATTGAATTTTTCAAACGCGAATAGAATCTTTTTATAAAGATTCCAAAAGTGGATGCGGACGCGCGAACAATAACGAGTGAAAGGTAAAATAAAATTTCTTTCGGAAACGTTCGGGCGCTCGATGATTTTAATTTAACAGTAAATAAATATCTCTCGTGACATTTCGAGTTTTTTTTTTCGTGGAAACGTAAAACGAGTGACATTTAACTATAACCATACATTTTCAGTGTTATTAATACCGTACGTAATGTGTACGATAATCGGCAATTTGGTTAAATACATTTTAGAGAAAGAGAAGACGAAATAACGATATTTTTCCACGTTATCCCATATTGCAATCAAGCGCATTCGTAATTCGTGTCGTTTGTAAATGTTATCGTGCAATTTTGTTTTGTCCGATTATCGGTTTCATTTTAATTTAATGATAATAATAATAATAATAATATATGAAAATGAAAATATATTGGGATGGGATCGAAACATTTTGTTCAACTTTGATTTTTCGCAATTACGCAAATCTGTATAATGATAAATGATTAAATAATTACGATTACGACAAAGATCATTTGTTATCATCCTTCGTCCTTGCATCAACAACAAAGAGGTATTTAAAATTAACAAAATTTGATTAATTTTTATTATATATATATCGTCAAACTCTTGATTTCCGATAATTTATTTTAATCTTTACGACACGAAGAGTGAAAATTTATGTTTTCCTAGCCTTGTTATTAACAACATCTACATATTTTACGCCTGAATTCCCCTGTAATGGTTTATTGACTAATAATATTAGCGAATTTACATATGACAACCTGTAAATTATAACTTTCTAACGTCAGATCAATTTTTGCGAATCGGATAATTGGCCGGATTCTTGTACAAGACGCAAGAGGGTTCTGCTAAATAGATTTCCACAATGAAGTTGTCGAGTGACAAAATTTCGCGAAACGTTTCGAGAAGCCGATAACCAAAACCAAAGAGAAACCAATGCCTCGGTATTGAAACGCGCGTGAATTCTGTTTTTCTCAACACTGTGAAATGTTTTCGTCGAGAATCAGAAACGAACAACGCTCTCGATCCCTTCGTGAAACAATATTGCCAATATTTCACCAACGATCTTACGCCTTGTATAATCGCGCGAACGATGATTCATAAAAACCTCAAGGTTCCACCTTTCAAAATTTCAAATTTCAATTCTCAACCGGTAGTTTCTCCAAACCGTTGTTGGTATTTTAAATAGCGGCACGAGATAAGATAAAGTCACGTTGGTGTGCGACTATGGGGTGCAACGTGATGCCTCTGAAGAAATACGCGGAAATTAGCTACCGGGTGAAATGCGTGGCCGTGGAGAACGAGCGGGTGTTCGGCGACGTGTACGTCACCCAACAAACGCGAAACATGCTGTACTGCGCGGATGGATATCAGTTTCCCTCGTTGTACGAGAGGAAGAGATGCAATCTGATTCAGAAAGAGTGGAAAGGGCCGGATTTCATGGAGTTGAATAGGAAAAAACCGATCAGAAGGGCTAGCTTCGCGCCGCTCGAGGCGGAGAGGAAACGCTTGAAGAGATCTAAATCAGTCGGCGACACCAGAAGCCTGGTAGATAACGATTGGACGAGAAGTGACGGTGTAAAAAGTGAAATCAACATTTGCAAACCGAAGGTACGATTTTTGAATGAATATTAACGAATGTAGAATTTTCTTTTCTTTTTTTTCGAAGATAGTCGAAGATATCGTTTCGATAATTGTTTCGTAGTCGTATCCACCACCGTTGCCCAACCCACCGGTAAGGAAAGAAGGGACCGTTTCTTCGTTAGTGGATCAATTGTTGTTGGATATTTATGGGTTGCCGGACGGTGATAGAAGACGATCGGAAAGCGACTCGACAGCCTCATCTCTGAGGATACATCCGCAGCATCAGCACCTGCAAAAGGCGCGTCTGTTGTGGAAAAGTAAGAATGATTCAATAAAAGATGGAAATGTCTGTGTGTACAACGCGCGAGAAAGAACAGAGCTGGTCGTGAGTGGGCGGATAAACGTGTTAGCTCGAGGACATTTATTGTGTGTATTTTTCACGGAAATGCAGACAGTTCTTAGAAATAATATCGAAAGAGAGAGAGAGAGAGATTACGATACCTACGTAATATTTTTCTAATAAAAGAGAATTATACGTTGGAATAAAAACGTAATATTCTATATGTTCGTTGCACGAATTGAAAAATCACCGTTTCGATCGAGAAAAATTTGTTAAGAAAGGGAACGGTGTCACCTCGTTCACGTTCGCGTTTAAACACAATTTTAACGTATCGAGAGTTCGAAATTCCCCGGAATTAGGCAAAGATACTTTGGCAAAAGCTGACGAGACAAGAGGTCGTAGAGACGAGACAGACAAGCGACCTCGTTGACTTCGAGGCAAGAAGGTTCTTTGACTTGGAGTGCTACTTTTTTTTTCTCCCCTTTCTTTTTTTTTTTTTTTTCTTTTCGAGGGGGAAGCACTTCTTTTATCTCTATACACGATGCTGCTTCGTTCCGCCTCGTTGAACATGCATAGGGAAAAACAGGGGAGAGATTGCACTATCTTAAGTTGAAACCCACAGTGATCGAATCACCGCGTCGAAATGATTGCAATCGGTGTCCATTGATATAACTGTGATATAAAAATATTCGAGTACCGAATATTTGGTTCAAAAAAATTTATTTTCTCGATTTATCGCGATGCTAGGAACGAAATATTGAAAACTTGTCGATCACGCACAATATTTCCTTAAATTTTCATATTTTATATAAAAAAGGAACGAATAAAGAGAATTTATCCAATCGACGACAACAATTATTCACGATTCAAATATTTCAATATTATTCCCTCCAGATATATGAAGTCAGTTTCCTCATGATGATGAAGTCCTCAGAGTTCATCAACTTGTGCCATTTAAATTTTTGACGCAAAAGTTACCGCAATGTAACTTAATTATCGTGATTTCTCCACGACGATTAAGATTCCAACTCGTGTTCGGAATGATGAGAAAGGAACGTGAGCGGGGATGGCGCGTTCGTTTCGTTGAAATACGCGGAGAGCATAAGCGAAAGGGGAAGTTGGGAAAAAGAACTGTAATCTTCGACCTGTGTACACAGTCGAACCCCCCTTTATCAAGATTGCAGCGTGAGTTCAAAGATTTCTCTCCAAGTGTCTTCGCTTTTATCCGCGGCGAAATTACAAAATACACAGGCATTCCAATTCTGAAATAACTTCCCTTCCTTCCCTTCGCGCAATCTGGAATATTGTGTACTCGAAAATTTGCACGAGATCGAGAAAAGAGATTCGAGAGAGTCAAATGAATACAATTTTGTTATTCCTCTTTTCCAGACAATCACGAGCTTCAAGTTTTGGTGATGAATTTACGCGATCATATTAATAACACAGGCGAGATACTTGTTCGACAACTGCGTCGAAAGGATTATCTCATCACCAAATGTGAAAAATTGTGCGCCATAATCACGGCTCACCTTCAGGCTCGCAGTCCAAAACGGGGTAAGTACGAGCTTTCTGTATCGAATTAAAGTTAAAATATCTCCTATATATACATATATATGTAATAATCTCTCCTTCTATGTCGAAGCTTTGTACAATAATATCTTTCAAAAATTCCTCTTGATCTCGTTCGAAACGAAAAAACAATGGAAAAAATGTTCGAAGGATTATTACTCGTAAACGATTCAAACGAAACACCTTATATATGCGCGCGCGCCTCTTGATTCTTCCCGCTTTAGTTTCAAGTTAAACGATCGTATCGTTCCGTGCTAACTCTTGACATTTATACGTATCATTAAAATTAACTTAACGAGTTAAAAAAAAAAAGGAAAAAGAAGGAGCGATGTTTAAACAAGCGGCAACGATAATGTCTTTGGGCGAACAATAGAGGTTCGCGTAATGCGGAAACGCGACTGTTCAAAACGGCGAGTCTCCCTTCAAGCTCCCCGCATTTCCTTCCCTCGCACGATAAAACAGTCGCCACACACAAAAGCGATCTTCTTCTTGTTTGCGCGGCGTGAAAAACAACCGCGCGATTTATACCGCTTCTTCGTTAACCAACGGCAACTTATTATTTATCTTATCATACCGTTCTGCACTCATAAATTATGGAACAGCTAGAATAGGAATTGGACTGGTGGCGTCGAGATAAAACCGTGGCACAAATACACAAATTATGCGCATCTTTAAGAATGCTACTAAGAATTTCTTGCATTTCTGACAATCTATTCCGCCGTTTTTTTTTTTTTTTTTTTTTTTTTTTTTTTTTAACACGACTTCTGCGACTCATACTTCGAATAATTGGTGCTATAATTTATCTTTCTTTATTACACAAGGTTAGAGAAAAATTAACGAAGTTAAGTTAGAACTCTCGAGAACAGAATCCCTCTCGAGAGCGAAAGCTATTCCCGAGACGATCGGAAAGAGAGATTCGTTCGATTTTCGCACTGGTCACGCGCGCCTATTTCGACTCGCGTCGTTAAACGTTTCGATTTGAAGAAAAAAAGAGAAAAGAAAAAAAGAAACGCGTTATCGTCACACTCGGAGCGAGCTCCGACCTTTTATCGCGGCGTATCGGCACGGTTGATACGTCGATTCTTTCGGAAAACAAAGAGAGAGGGGCCCCTTTTCACGTGGCACCCGACGCGCAGTCGGTGATCAATAATTAGACTTTGCCGCGCGTATCGCGCGGAATACGCATGCCCGAATACGCGACGAGTGCGCCCAAATCTCGCGTACCCGTACCCGTCATTGATAAAGTTTTAATGATGTTGCGCCTGCGAACCGGAAATGCGGAACTTTCCACGCTCTTCGCGCTAACTTTCGGATCTGCATTTATATAGGTGCGATGAACCCTTAGACGCGTAACGAAAATGACGCCTCCTCGCGATTAGGTGAATGATGGTTCATATTTTGACACTAGGTAGAGTCGAGATCCTTGAGCTTGATGTCTTCAAGTTATTAATTGCGTGGCTCTAGGAATTTCAAGGTTATCTTCGTTATCTTCGAAGTTATTTTCGAA